GACTTTTTGGCTGCGCTTACTACTCCACCTAGTCCACAACCCATCCCCATTTTTCGTTTACCACGCATAGCTGTCACCGTTGTCCAAGCAGCTAACTTTTCTTTAAGCCCCGTATCTTTCGACTTGAAAATCGCCCACGCCTTTTCCTGTAATATTCTGTCGGCCTCGTGACGATCACTGAACACGTCACTTTTATCGTAAGCAATATCGTGTTCTCTACAAGCGTTATCCAATCGATTGATACCCCGTTGACCGGCGGCCAGCCTTTGACGTAGACGAGTCCCGGGTCCACAAAACTGATAACCAGGATAATGCAACTCTACCGGTAATCTATTTATAATAGAGTTTAAAAGACCCGAACCTTTGTTGCTCTTTAGCTTTCGAGACGAAGACATCATATGTTCATTTCTTTCAATCGACAGTCATATTTATACCATGCGATTTGTTGAACAAGATCATAAACTCCCTATTGTCAATGCAGATACAATAGACGTCAATAGTGTGGTATCAAAACACGGTCCTCTTCTATCAAACACTATTCGCGCCCTAATAGCTGGGCCATCGTCCTGTGGTAAAACCCAATTGATCTTTACACTGTTGACTGCAGACAATGGATTAAAATTCGAAAACGTATACATTTATTCCAAGACTTTGGGTCAGGAAAAATATAAATTACTCGAGCAAATTATTCGTCAAGTCGATGGTGTAAACTTGTACACGTTTTATGAAAATGAAACAATAATGGTTCCGGAGAAAGCAAAGGAAAATAGTATTTTTATTTTTGATGACGTAATTTCTCAAAACCAACATATTATCCGTGAATACTTCTCACGTGGGAGACACAATAAAATAGATGTTTTCTATTTAGGTCAAAGTTATTCGAAAATTCCAAAGCTTTTAATTCGTGATAATTCAAATCTAATTGTACTTTTCAAGCAGGATGAATTAAATTTAAAACATGCTTACGACGACCACTGTAGTTCAGATATGACTTTTTCCGAGTTTAAAGACTTTTGTAGAGCATGTTGGAATCGAGATAAATATGGATTTGCAGTGATATGTAAGGATTTTATTAGAGATCAAGGAAGATATCGAAGCAAATTTGATACATTTGCTTTAATATAAAAGACCATGCTCGCAATTTATAGTTATCATTTGCACTGCAGTTACCATGACGGAAAAAAACAAAAATTTGTTATCAGCGTTAACGCAGGCCAAGGAAAGTATTAAGAGAAAGTATATAGCTCTGAAACAAGGTGAAGCAGATACAGAATCGTTAGTTACACAGAGTTTTAAACCAATTATTGATCCACTGACGAAAATAGCAAATAAAAACACGAACAATGGTGGTGATGACTACCAAAGTTTTGAAAATCGCGATCAGGTGTTTGATGACCCTGTATTTCAGTCACAACAAGCATCGAAAGAAGTATCAACCGCCATAACGTCGAAAAAAACGGATCATACTGTGAGCGTTGGTATGATATTAGATAACTGGTTAATTTCACCACAAAGAGATAAAATATATGGACCCAAACCGGTTGATAATAAAGGTAAAATAAATTTCGGTCATTCTGAAATGGAATTCGATAGAAATTCATTACAAATTTCACTTGATGGTAGACCATATCCCATGACCGTGGGAATACTACAATTATTGTTTTCTAAAAACCCAAATAAGTATACAAAAATCGATACGAGAAATTATAAAAAAATGCTAGAACAATCATCAGCTCACTTAACTGTAGATGGTAGTCGGCTTAAAAGAACCGGTTCCAAGTATAATAAGATCATTTCAAAGATATTCCCCTCAGGCAGTGGTCTTTCCATGTCGCTGAATAATAAGAAAACAAATTACGTATATTGGAATCAGCCTGAAGAATTAATTACCAGATTACGTTTATTACATGCAGCGAGAACTGCAGGCAACTCAGGGGTCAATAATGAAATAGTTTCTATTTATGAAGAACTTTATGAGCAGGGTATTATAAAAACGATTCCACACGATGATACCGATAACTACTACTAAAGAAAGTATTGCTTCAGAACTGCATCGACCAGCTCGTAAAAATTTCACTAGGCGGAGAGTTATTTTGAAGGGGAAAGGTGATCTTTTGCAGGCCGATATTGTTGAAATGACCAGTCATTCAGTGAAAAATCGGAAATTCAAATATATTCTTACCGTCATTGACTGTTTTACGAAAAAAGCTTGGTGTTTTCCTCTGAAGACAAAAACTGGAGTCGAAGTCACTGCAGCCATGGAGAAAGTACTCATCCCCCACCCAACAACTCACCTTATGACTGATTCCGGGAAAGAGTTCTATAATAAGCATTTCATGGCTTTGATGAAAAAATACAATGTTAACTTATACTCGACATATTCCGCTCTCAAAGCTAGTATAATTGAGAGATTTAATCGCACAATTAAATCAAAAATGTACAAACAATTTACAGCTCAAGGTTCATATGAATGGGTTTCTATCTTGGATAGCCTCGTAGATACGTATAATAATACAAAACATAGCACTATTAGAATGACACCGAATCAGGCCGAGGCTAACCCGTCTTCGGTTGTAATACATGGTCGTAAGATACCTGAGCAGAAATTTCGCTTTAAAGTTGGCGACAGAGTAAGAATTTCTATGTACAAAACCATCTTTACTAAGGGTTATCTTCCTAGCTGGAGTAGTGAAATTTTCAAAGTAGTAAAAGCTAATCCTACATCTCCTCCTACTTACTACATAGAAGACTATACCGGTAAACCCATAGCAGGTAGTTTCTACAATGAAGAATTAAGCAAAACTCTATATCCTGATGACTATCTGGTGGAAAAGGTCTTACAAAAAAAAGGATCAAAAGTTCTAGTAAAATGGTTAGGATTTGATTCAACACATAACTCATGGATAGATAAAAACGATCTCAAACTATGATGAATTAATTATTCATAATGAAAAATAATTTCAATGATGAAATTAATCGATATTGTTAAAAATCGCATTATATAAAATATATTAAATAATGTATTAGTACATAATGTTCTCACTAGTTGAAAGTCTGTCGACTATATTTCCAAACAGTCATCATTTAGACCAATATGATGCAGTATCGCTCTCACGGTGGACTGACGATGTCTACATCCTATTCCAACGACTCCGGACCCAATTAAATATTAAATATATATGAATGTTTGAACATCGTTTGGATCGATACGAATTGGAGTCAGTACATCGCATGTCGCAGACGCAACCAGATGAACTAGAATGGGTAATTACCAATCGTTGATCTATTTTTACCGGGACGTTCAACCGCATTTGTGCAAAGCGTGTAAGTTTGAAGATGCTGAATGTTTTGTCAGTAAGTCCACATTGCCGTGTTACGGTTTGTATTTGACCGACCTGGATGATGATGTTGAACCGGACAGTCAATCGATGTTCGAAGTGATAAAATATAAGAGACAAGTATGCACAGCTTTGAACGCGCCGTCGAGAAAATCGTATCTGTCACTCGTGCCATGGCGTCCATGTCAGTTGCCGAGCCACATGCTGGGCAAAATTGTATATTCTAAAAAAATAGTCGGGTACGTGTCAATGAAAGCTACCGATTTTAACGATATTTTACATAAAGTTAAAATGACAAAGGATATTTTCTTGTCAACGTGTGAAAATTCATACGGTGTAAATTTTAAACCACTGAAAGAATATTCACCGTTTGCCCGGCTGTTCACTGCGTACGATGATGACGACTGGAATATCTTTTTCGTGGACAATACCGGACCGATGTCGTGGAAAAGAAGATATAATACAAACGGACGGGAATATATTTTGGATGCTCTTACATAGTCAATATGGTAATCATCGATGAGTTAGGATAATTTTAATATTAACACAGTGTATTAGTATAAAATAGTGATTAGTATATCGACAACCATGGACGTGTTTGGTGGTTCATTAGAAGGCAAAAAGAATAAATCAATCGGAAATCTCCAAGTTGGATTGCAGATGCTTCAAAATGAGGTAGACGTACACAATATTCTTTTCCGTACTCATCGAGCGGATATAACAAAATGTAGTGATACAATTACTGATATTCGAACTGCCGTACAAAAAATCGAATCTTACATTCAACTAATGGCAGCAAATATAAAATTTGATTCACCTATTTTAGTATATGATCAATACAGACTACAAACTGAAATAACTATTAGCGTTGAGGACAGGTCAGACGATTTAGTAGATAAGATTCAGGAATAAGAAGAGTTAGTAATATATTGTATTTAATCATGAAAAGTCGTGTTCTGTGTTGCTTGCTTATATAATATAACAACATAATTTATAATACAAGAATGGGTCGCTTGATACTTGATATGCAGTGTGTACTAGGATCTGATGGAAAATATCTAATAAAGGAATTATCGGCTATCGATACCGAGAGCTGTGCAGTCCAACACTGGATATTCAAATACTCAACAACCATGTTTCAAAATGCCAAGTCTCGTTCTATTAATAATTGGTTAGAGCGTCATTTCCATAAAATGAGTCTCACATACGGTGATGTAGAATGCGAGGAAATTGGAAGAATATTAAATTCATTACAAGCTCGAAACATTTACGTGAAGGGGGAACAAAAGAAACAACTTCTTTTGGAATATTTACCTGGTATAACTATTATAAATATGGAATTAATGGGCTGTCCAAGAATAGATGAACTCTATCCTAATGAAGAATTCGCTTGTTGTCTCTTTCATAAAGAACTGAATCCCAAGCTATGTACATTTTACAAAGTTTTTACTTTGAGAAAATGGTTTTTGGAAAATGTGTAAATAATATACTTTTTTAGTTTTTGTAAAAGATAATATTAAAATATTTATATATATATATATTGTAGAAAAATAATTGTTTACATTGTAATATATATTATATGATGTATACTTATATAATAAGAAATCTTTTTTATATGTATAAATAATAAATCGAATATTTTTTTTCTTTTAAAAAATTGTTGTTGCATTCTTATAATCCGCCTGCCTCTTGAAGTTCTCTAGAATAATAATAATAATATGAATGAACATTTTTTTTAACTATCATTATTATATATTTTATTTACTTGATTTTATAATGACCAATCGCTAAAGTGTGAATTCTGTCATGAAGTATGATCCTCTTATCATCATTTCGGTTTAGTGCTAATTTCATTGTTTTGATGGTACAAATTTGATGTTTGAATGATCGTATAGATATATTCTCTCTGTATGGAGTATAATCGTAGCGATAGGATGTACTACCCGCTGTATTTAAGTCATGGTGAGCATACTCTACGGTCTTAAGAGCACAATTATGAGCAATCATTTTGGCTTCTGCTTTATTTAAACCGTAAATGTCCAAATCATCATCACTGTCATCATCGAAAAGACATCTTTTAAAGTCGTCAAGAACCATGTGTTTTTGAGTTACATAAGTTCTTATACCTACAAAAGAAAATAATTGTTTTCCATATAACCGGTATTTTATACATAGATATTATACTAATACAACAAGGTCAGAAAATAAAGAAAGTGGTCCTCAAACAGTATACGCACGTGTATACCATAGGTTATGTAACGCATGAAAGTTTTTAATTTTTAATGAGATATTATAAAAAAATGTTGTGAATCTTAACAGCTTTAGTAAACCAAAGCAATCAGCATAGGAATTATTTCGATTAAATCATATATTATTAGAAATCGTTTATATTATATTATTATATTTAAACACTATCATATACTTATCTACCTGTTTTGAAAAACTGACGCCTTAACCCACTAAGCCATTAAGATTCACAAATTGTATAATGTATTTTATACCATTTAAATAGTAAACTTTTTATTTTATTTTTAATAATTTATAATACCTTTAGCTTTTATTTTTTCTTCTGTATTCCATTCTGTTTCCAGAGACTTATAAATGTTTTCTTTGCTGAACCCGTACAATTTTGATCGCAATGCAATTATCTCATGCATCGTAAGACCGGCTAATTCATCAGTGAATGTCCCCGGAACTTTTTTGCGTTCTACTGAGTAACATGGATGATCAGGTGGTAAATTTGACGTATCCATCCGATTTAAAAGTTCTGGTTTTTTTCTGACATCTTCATAAAAGTCTTTGGTCTTTATTAAATATATAAGTGAGTCTAAGGGGAACAATTTATCATTTTATTTATAACTAAATACAGCTATTCTTTATTATTATTCATATTTAAAAAAAAAAGGTACCTGTATCACCATAAATGAATTCAATAGCATCTTTAAAATGCTTGCGCATAACGTTGTAATGGTAATCGTACATCAAAACTTTGCTTAGTTCCAGCACCGCAAAACCTACGTATACTGGCTTACAAAAATTTATTATCTTATTCTCCAAAGAAATAGCTGCAAGGTTATCGTTGTATGTAGTGCATAGGAATATTATCTGCAGCTTTTACATAAAACCCATATGACATTAACTTATGTTCATCGATAATTTTAGTGTTTCCGCCTTTGCTGCCTGAATTATTGGGTTTGATTAATAGAGCTTCAAAATCTGCGTACACGACAAACGGATGTCGAACTGTTTTGCCCCAAGCTTCGAATTTCAAAGTCGAACCTGCTTCGGGCATTACCGGCAAAATGGTTTTATGTTTGTTACATATCTGTCTGTGTTGATCGAGCGCCTCCTGACCTGATAATTTATGGAGTTTCGGACGAGTATCGAATCCTGTGAAACATTTTTTACAAAAAACCATTTTGCTATGGTTTTTCGTTTTTTGGCTACGTATCAACCTCGCGAAATTTGAAATATAGGTGAAGTGACTTAAGCCCGTAGTTTCATCCTCTATGACCAATAAATCAAAATGATCAATTTTTTCCGAATTCGATACACGTAGCGGATAAACATAATGAGCCGGTTTGAATTTAGTATGGCCCGGTTGTTTTTCCAAACCATATACATTTATAGATACCGCAGGATTATCGATCTCGAAGATTTTAATATTTTTAAGAGGTGTTGGATATATAAACCTATTAAAATTATACATTTTCTCTAATTTTTTATAATTTTCCCCAACGTGATTTTTATTTCCCGATGACACGTGCTTAGCTAAAATGGCCCATTTAAAACATTCATTGTCCTTCAAGTTCATAGGATTAATGACCGCCTTTTTTCTTATAATATCTTCGGGTAGATATATATGGGATGATGCCCGTAACGGTGTAAATACATACACTCCCAGAAGTATTCCATCAATTGTTTGAAGGGAATAACCAGAGCCCTTGGCAACATACTCATCTTCTTCTTCGAGGAGCTTTTGTAAAGTCATCAAGAACTGCAGCATTCAAATCACTCGCCGAATAAAGCTCTCTAGCAGACGTTTTAAAAGCCCCGATTTTCTGTTGTGTTTTCCTGCTGCGGTATACTATAAGTTGCTTCTAGTTTTAAATTGTATTTAATTGGATGAATTGACGCCATTGAACTTAAAAGACTAGATATTTGTGGTTTGCAGTTGTTTAAAAATTCATTATAATCTAATGTATTGTTTATATTTTTTTTATAAAACCATTTAATTTTCCCCTTGAACGATGACTCGATATGAATACAATTATCCTGACCCGCGGTCGCCGCCATAGACATACGAGCGGTTTTTTTACGTTTATTACACATCGTATTCTCATTATAATAGCCGGGTTCAATCGTAGTATTATTCAACAATTCCCCATCAGCCGTTTTTATTTTTTTAACCGACTGTGTTGTTGGTAGTGGGTCAGACGTACAATCTACACCTGTTAAATATTTACTTATTTATATATATTTATATATATATATATATTGTTAAAAACAAGTCTTACCGTTACGAGGGTCAACAGTTTCACTTGGTGTCGTAAAAAGGGTGTCATTAGCCTGCGCGTTTGACGGAATATATGTTATTAAATTCGATTGTTCTTGTTGTTGCTGTCGCTGATTAAAATCTACGATAAAAATACGAAATTACGAATAGAATATTATGTTTTTTATTTTTTTTTTTTATTTCTACTCACTGTTAAACACTTGTCCTATACCGTCAATAGCGTCATTAAAATCAACCCCATTTTTAGCAAGATCTATAATAGTATAAATTGTTTTTATGTCCATCGATTTTAATGCTTATTTTTAATAACTACTGTTTAAATAAATGTAATATATTTAATGCTTTACTTACGATGTACGGTTCTCACATGACGCAACAAATTTGATTTTTGACTAAAAACTCTATTGCAAGCGTGACAAGGAAATTGAACGTCAGTGTGTTTTATGCCATGTCTGTTTAAATTAGATTTGTTTGCAAACGATTTACCACATTGTATACATGTAAACATGATGACTTTTAGATAGTACAATTAATATAAATTAAAATAACACGGTTGTACAAAAATAATAAAAGTTTTTTTAAAAATATTAAAAACAGCTATGAACGTAAAAGCGTAACATCGACTGACACACGACTAAACCATATTCTTGAATAAAACATTAGTGCGGGGCACTAGTTTTCTTTTCTTTATTTTAGAAAGTTGTTTCTTTTACATATTTTTTTAAAAGTAGGAGGAGAGAATATAGAAGGATAGTTGTTAGAATAATTTCTTAATAAATAAATGGGGTTATCTCTCAATGTAATAAAAATAAATGTTTTATTTTTTTTCATACAATAATTTCTATACAATAAATAGCTATTTACTTATTTAAATACATAATATTTCCCATTGTCTGTAATGTTATCACATACATTATTTATGTTTGTGAAAATACATAAATCACACTTGCAACAGTCATCTACATCTTGCATGGTTTTAGGTGATGAATTAGTTTTAATTTCAAAATCTGCAAGTTGTTCAATCACGTTTTCATCTTCACGCTTAGGAGCCTGTTAATAATAATAATAATAACACTTATAATGATTGTTTAGTTAAAGTATTATATAATAATGTAAAATCTATAATAACCTCTATTTCAGAATGTTTAAGTTCAACCCAAGCGTCAGCAACAGATTTCGCTGCGATTGATATAAGTTGGTTGATATAGTCAGGTTTATCGTTTGAGATTAAGCTAGAAATCGTTTCTTGACTCATTTTTTGTATGTAGCATACCATTTCATCGCTGTGGAAACTGTTTTTTTCTTTCCACTGAGAGTCTAAATATTTTACAAATATTTCGAGTTGTTCTAACACGATAAGACGGGTTACATACGATTTGTGGTAATATACTGCATTAACAACGTGTTGAAGTTCTTGAATTTTCAATAATTCCTCACGACAAAGTAAAATTTTGGAGTATGTATCACTTCTAGCCTGTACAACTAATAAATGCTGCCCACGTGAAACTAATTTTGAAATTATGAAGGATTCATCTGTTAACAGTTTTTTCATAACATTTTTTTGAAACTTTTTTTCGTAGTTTTCTAAAGCGGTTTGCTCAATCGACAAATTGGTCAATATTGTACTCATAGCAGATATTAATCTGCTAAATAAGATTATACCGACTGTCACATAACTTGTAGAAGTCAAAATATGTATTTTAACATTAAATGTCTCCTTCGGGTCTAAGCCGATTTGAATATATTTTCTACTATTATAGTCAATTGTAAACACCGTACAGTCTATTAACTCATGTGGCGGACGTAACGTACTATATTTTCTTTTTTTGTAAGTTAATTCATTTTTTTTTATTAAACCGGTCATTTTAAAATACTGAAATGTTGAACCGAAATAACACACAACGAACAGCACAGCACTCTATTAGACACTAAATATCATGAGCTACGGAATTTCCACTTAACCGTATCGAACAAGTTTTTTAGTACCCCACCATATGTAAATTATTAGAAAATAAAAAACATTCTTGTCGAGAAAGTTTGTTTAACCGATGCATATGTATTTTTATTTTTTATAATAACACAAGATTTAGCCTTGACCTCTCCTGTACCTAAAGATTTTAGTAAAAGAGTGGGGGATATATAACTTTTCTTTTAGAACATCATACTACAGTTAGTTGAAACGGTTTAATACGTTTTTCAAGTTCTACAAGAACAGACGACTTTATTTATTTACTCCGTACATAACAAAAAATAAGGTAATAATATATCTTCTTATAAAATATAAAAATATTTATATTACATATATATATATATATATACATATATATTTGTTTTTAGCATGGCTAGTTTCGCCAATTTACTCAAGTCAAAAGTTGAAGAGTCCGAAAAAACATATGCCAAATCAATCAGTATAGGCGAGCTGGAAGTGAACGCCAAATATCAGATAGAAAATGTCAAATTAATCGCCAGTAAATTCGGACCTAACTTCACGGTAGTACGCATGACGATAAAAAAAGATGGTCTAACATATGGAGTTTTTCTACCACAATCGTTCAAACTCACGGAACAGGAATGCGCCGAGTTTGAAAACAAAACAGGTCCGGTGTTTTTAATTTTTAGAGGTCGTAGACAGAATAAGTCATTCATTATAGACTTTGAGACATAATTTTTTTTTTAACAGTGTGAAAACAAAATATCTAAAAAAATAATAAAACGTTTATACTATCTTATTTTTTGTGCTAATATTTGAAAATAAATACTTATAAAAACTATAAATTAATATGATTCTTGGAATCTTATGTTTTTTATGTTGATAACTTATTACTGTTAATACAATAATAATAATATTATAATGTTGAACCATAATATAAAATAAGTGTATTGAAATATTTTTAAACCTGTAAAACAAATGTATGTTTCTTTCTCATATTCATTTATTTGTAATAGTTTACGAGTTTTTGACAATAATATATTATTTTCTTTTTCTAAATGAGTGATTATGTTTTGTTTGTAATAATTTAAAAGAAAACTGGTTTACCTCACAGCGTATCAATAACATTATATTATCCAAGTTGTTATTTAGTCTCTGAGTTTTTACGACCGTTAAGTGGTGTGATTTTTATCACACACACACACACACACATACACATATACACAGACACGCATGAATGCATACATGCTGTGTTTTCAAGTTACGTATGGTTTAAACACATATATGGTAATTAATATTAGGCTATGAGTAAAAACAAAATGTTACAGTATTTTTTCTTTGTACAGAATATATTTAAGAAAAATATAATACATAAACAGAAATACTATCAATTATAATAATAATAATATAATAAACAATAACAATAATAATAATGCTGTTAACAATAATATGGTATATTTACATTTGTATATATAAAGAAAATCTACACCGGGGGTGCATGACATTGAAATCTAGACACCTAATATTGGATATGATTCAGAAATTGGAATAAAATAATTAAAATAAGCCCTGACTATTTCCGATTTTAGGATCAAGTCAGGGTTTGCGGCACGTATCAAATTAATATCTGTTAAGTTTACC